ATTTTCTTGGTTACTATCTTGTTCTTACCAGACTGAATTGCTGGAACTTCTCTATAAACAGGATGAAACAATAGCAGCAAAGGTAGGATGCCATAGCAAGCTGAATAAGGACCTCAAAGCCCATTACCATTTTAATGATGGCATTGTTAAGCAAAGTAGCCTCAAGATTAAATCCTTTTTTTCATTTAGAAAAACTAGCTATTATTGAGTGTTTTACTTTTAGCAACCAAAATACGGTAGTGTTTGGCTTTCTTTTGAAACTCACGTAGTTTCAAAGCTGTTTGCAGCTGAAGATTGTCAGCCACTCACTGTACTTACTAAACAGGTTTAAAAGCAGACACGGTTAACAGGATGTGACATAGACTCTCTTCAGCACAGTATCTGACACATCCGTGTACTTTTCTAATAACTTTGAAAAGCTCAAGCTTAGAATGCAACAGGTCTTCTTAAAGTTTGAATCCAACAAGAAAGCCTTAAGAAAGGTATATCCCACGTGTATCTTATTGAGAATTATTTCAGTGAACTTTTGCTTATCAGTATTGAAAAGATGTGTTAAAACCAGTCTGACAACTTTTTTTTCGTAACGCCATGTGCTGGAGGGCCTTGAGAAAACAGTTTTGAAACAATATCAGAGCTGAACTACTGAAATGCTTTGAACAAGAAGAATGTTCATTAAACACATTTCCCTGGTTTTTGTTGTGTCCCAAACAACGAAGGTCAGATATTTCATGATTTACAGCCCCTTTTCTAGTGAGATGCTTCAGAAAGAGCTCAAAAGATTTGCATCTTGCAAGTAAGAACACGGTGGACTTAAAATGCTTAACCTACTCTGGTGCTTTTTCAAAATTTTAGCTGTGAATTCACTGGATCCTGTTTCAAAACATGCATATAAAAGTGTTAATTACCCACCCAGCTCCCCTTATCTTAATTCACTGTAAGTCAGCCAACACCCACGGGAGAGGCTCCGCAGTGACTGGACCATGAGAGATGCAGACATTTCGTACTTCTTTGGAAACAGTCTCTGTGGTATAATCCTGCTTTCTCTGAGTTGCTGTTAACTACAACTCCTTGGAGTGAAATTAGGTTTCATTGCCCAAGGCTGTACTCTTTTGTCTCCTGCAAAAGGGCTGTGCTTCAGGTCACAGGTCTGTGCATGGGTCCTCCCACCCAAGCCCAGGGCACAGTTAGAGCATCTGACAGATCAGCTCCTCTGCAGCCACCTCGCAGTGCTTGCTCTGCACTGAAGGTCTGAGGAGGAAAGACATGGATAAGGACTTTGCAAAGCACATTAGCTTCCTATTTGATTCCCCCCTTTCTAACCTCAGATTTCTCTGTACTTCTCAGCACCCCTTTTTTTGATGTGTAGCAAAGCATTTCAGGTCAGAATGGGTTATTCAACAGCTCCGAAAAATACAGTCTCACTGTATACAGCTTGCTCTGAAAAATCAGACTTGAGTGCCACAAAAACATAAAATAAGAAGAAATCGTAGATGTCATTTTTTGGGACATACTTCCTGACACAAAGGAAGATGCAAGCAAATAGTAGCATCATTCTACAGTGAGAGGGACTGGGTGAAGCATATCAGCTCAGACTAAAAATGAAATTTTACTAAAGGGTAAGGGCCTTCCAGTACAGCTGATCATCAGCAGAATAATTTAAGAAAAAAAAGCATAGTGAGAGAAATGTATTACAAAAATGTCGAGCCTGACTCTGGAAATGTTTGTGAGTCATCAGGGATGCTACCCAGCAGGGAATTGTAAAGGAGGAATCTTCTTAACATCTAGGGCTGTTTTAAAGAGCTGCTGTTGATGGTACTTCCTCCTAGGCATTCCCAGGAGCTGTGTCTGTGTCTACTATGGTAGATAATAGATGGTGGATCCTGGTATTAGCAGGACCTTTTACACATCTGTCTTGGTATTTTCTTTGAAGTCTTGGGTAATGGCAAACTAGAGTCTCAGTAGAGATGATTTTTGCAACACAGGAAACACCTGTACACTCTTCTCAAATTATTTCTCCATGTGACAAATGCACACCAGCTCTGCTATGTCACAAGGCCTTTTCACCCTAAAAGTTAAGGTCAGGAGTGACCTCACAAAAAAGCACTGGACAAGGCAAAATCTTTCCCCTAAACCTTCCCTCCTTTTGCCTCCTACTCCGTGTTCTGCCTTTCTGCCTTTTTTTCCCCGTATTATTCAACCCACAGCTTGCCTTCCTAGAAGCATCAATCCATCATTCCCTATATTTATTTTTGTGTCTGTTCCTGAGTTGTCAAGGACCAGCAGATTCTTTTTTACTCCCAGTGTGCACAGCTACAGGCTGGTTTGCATTCAGAAGCTGTAGAAGTGATGGCGATTTCTGCAATTTCTGAAACTTTTTCTTTAAACATGGTTATACAGCTGACACCTCTCTTCCTCGTTTAATGAGAGTCTACTCTATTTCATGCAATGAAGTGTGCACTGTTGATATAAGCAGGCCCCGAGCTGGGAGAGAGGGCTCCTGTTCCCAGCCTTTCTACATATTGCTGATTAGCTGCCCTCTCACTGCCTCACTTCCTTCAGCTGTGCAACAGCACTCACAAAACTGTCCTTTTCATTATAAAGTGATTTAAGATTCTTGATGAAGAACATGACATGAAATCAGACAGTCAAAGCTGTTGGAGAAGTATTATACACAACTGTCACTCTGTGGAGAATTCTCCAATATCGTATTAGTATACACAAAGCAGCAGAAGTTTGTTCAAGGTTAGCATCTTCTACTCTTAAGCCTGGCTAGGATAGAATAGCATCTTAGATAAGAATATATTTGTGCAGTGTAATATCATTACTGTGGTCTTCGGATCTTGTCAAGTTCCTGGCAGAAGTGTTTGCAATAAGGGAAAAAAAAAAAAGAAAGCAAGCGATTTCTCTTTTAACCAGTTATTAACCTTGAGACAGTCTATATACTTACATGGAGGTAGTAAATGTCGTACAAACAGTATCTCTTCTTTTGTTCTCTGAAATCAGGATGGCTTCTAATCATTTAAGTGTTGCTATTTTATTCATAAGTGCTACTGTATATCTCTTAATATTTTACAGAAAACTGATAGTAGGTGAATTACGCAGTTGTAGAATTCTTTACAGTTGGGTATATCAGCATTTCTGTAACTTTATCTTTTCTCAGAGCAGGCCTCAGAAACTGGTCTTGTAGGATGTAACAAATATTGGATAATTCAGGAACAGATTTACAAGCACTTAGACCTGTCAGTTACACCATCTTATTTTCTTGCTGATGAATATGTCCAGCAAGACACTGAGGGTTTTTTTATGAAAAACTCAAAGTAACTTGGAATTAAAATCCTTCCAATTAAAAAAAAATAACTGTAATTCATTGCACTGAATCATGTAAACAACTTTGATACTAGAGGCACTGCTCCTTAACCTGGTATCTGAATTTATTAGCAGATAGTTTCGATCTTGTTTTTAAAGTAACTGAAATGCACATGCAGATTTAGGGTTCTGGATAGGGCATGAAAGCAACTCCATCTTCACTCTACTCCACCTCATCCTGTAAAAAAAAAGTTTTCCACCAAAGCAGCATCTATATAAGATGCACAGTAGTTGTACATGTTGTACATTTTATTAATCTGAAGCTGAGCCTTTTCATCTTTACACCATTTTACCTCCAGGTCCTGTAACAGCCTTGCACTGGGTCAGACACACGTTTTCCAAAGAATGCCCCAGAAAGCACTGTGTGGGTGGTATTATAACTCTGTATATTCCTACAATGGAACAGTGTGTCTGTGTAACGGGATTGGGAATTTTGCTTTGGAGAGTTAATGTGAATGTTAAATGATAAATAAAATGTGGAAATGAAAAGAAGGCCCCGAAGAATGGAAAGCATCATAGTAAGCCAACATTTATCTTTCTAACTGTGGGTCCTCTGAAGTCTGCAGAAAGGGTTTATGGATGAGACACGACTGGCAGAGAGCATGCAGCATTGTTGCTAAGAGCAGATCACCAGAACCCTGCAGAATCACAGAACACGTGGCTATTCAACATTTAAGTTAATAACTCATAGAACCTTGTGATATTCAGAAGCATTTGGCAAACATCTAATATTGCTGGACTGTTTAAAGATGTTTGCAGGTCACGTTTACAAGTGGATGTCTCTTATGCAGTATTATTAACACCTCTTTTTGCTGTTGTTGGCACACTAAGCCCTTCCCACTGTACCAGGAAACTGTATTCCATTCACAGAGAGCTGACTCCATCCTCTAATTTTTCATGCAAACAGGCTATAGCAGAACATCCCTTTAGGAGACCTTTTTGTTATCCTCTGTAGAAATCATTATGGGTGCTTGATAATCAAAGAAAACCTTACTAAACATACAATTTATCAAATTATCTTTATAAACAGCTCTTATGTCACTCTTCTTTAAAGAAGAGTGACATAAGAGAAAAACCTATTTCTTCATTATATTGTGTGTATTCCTGAAAGCCTTTTCTTTTATGTTCACAGCAATCTTCCTATCTCCCTTTAATCACAGTGGCCTCCACCACTTTTTCCAGCTGTTTAGAATTCATTGGGAAGAATTTACCTTGTTTTCTTAGTAGTAGTTTTCGAAGTGTCTCAACATGCTGCAGCATATTTTACAAACAGTAGAGGATTTTAAATGAATAATTCTTACTAAGTTTCACTTTTAAATTAACTTCCTAGTATTATTCATAGAAAGGGCTGTTGGTAACTAGATTTGCTCTGGAATTTTTACACAAACTTCTGAAGCTAAATTTTACTTTTACATCCTGAATTTTTCACTTATATGTCTGAGTGCTGATTAAGCCCTCCTTGGGAGGGTTTGAGTCAAAGTGACTCGTTCAATATCCCAGTAGACTGGGCAGTTACCTGAGATGCAGGAAAATGTCTCCATTCATTTTCATCCTATTTTCATCAGAGACCACACAAGTAGTTATATGCATTATGCTATTAATTTTTAAAATGGGATGAGTGTAGTTCAGCATCTAATTCATACTCACCTGCTTAAGTTTCAGGGTTGCTCAGCAGCCATAGACACAACGAACGTGCTCAACATGTCTGAAAACCGGGCTATGTAGGTGCCTAGAAAATACAGAATCAAATAACTAAGTACAGGCATCCTAACTGGAAAAAAAATAACCTTTTTTTTTTTAATTTATTGAATATGGATGAAGTATTGGTTCCTAGCAGAAACAGAGCATATAACGTCATGGATCTCATGCTCATTCAGATGTGGCAGATCTGACATGTACGTTTATGATGTCTGGCAAATGTAATTATTTTTCTATTTAAAAACTAAAATGTAGTTACTAATCCAGTAGTCTGATTTTACACATTTGTTTCACTTTTTAAATTCTAAAAAAGGTAGTAATATGTTCCCTAAATTTTGGGGAGAAACAGCTTGTAGTGAGACATGATGTATTTTACTGATCCTGGAAGGTTAGTTTAGGCCCTCCTAATTTCATGAAATTCCCTCTTCTCACATAGCCCTGGGATAATTGGATTGTATGGCATTCCAAAGCCTTTGGGATGCTAAAATAATCATGCATTAACCCTATAAACATAATTCTGCTTTGATGTTCTCACTACTAGCTGCTAGCTGAATAATTACAGTTCCCTTGTGATCAACTTTCATATGATAAGACTGATAGCAATGATAAAGAGGATGAAAAAAGTTGCAAGACCCTTGAAATGTGTTTTTAGTTCTTACAAAGAAAGGACATCAATTTATAGGAACTGATGTCGAGCAGGCCATGCAATTAAAGCTCTTGGTCCCCGTTTCATTACTGGAGGAAAGTGGGGCTTGCACTGAATTGTGGGGAGCAGCCACAGCAACTGGTTGTGGCTTTCTGGCTGAGATAAGTTTATGCTGTTCCCTTTGGCAAATCCTTGTCTTATAAATTCCTCAACACTTTGTTCAAAGTACAGCTGTGTTTCAATAATAACTTATTTCTGTATAATTCCAAGTTCAGTGGTTTTTGTTACATACACTGCTAACATTTTCACACAAGTACTCCAGCTGTACAGCAGTTCTCTGCAGTCAGCACTAGCCAAAAATCATGCCAGGAACTATCTGTATTAGGTTCCATGTTACCAAACTTTTGTATACTGAACTATGATACACTACTCCCATATTACTTTCTCTTCATTCCACTGTTGTCCCAGCTCTCAAAAACTCACCACTTTTATGCCAACTTAGCCTCAATTTACTGCCACAAGATTTTGCTCTTGTTCCTATTTACACGCTACATTATCACAGTACCAAGTTTTGCAAGAGCTGTCCGTTTCCAGATAGGAAGTCTGAGCCCGCTCATTCTTTGCCAGTGTGGTTGGGTAATGTGTTCATCATAGGACAGGACTAAGGATACCAGCTCTACTGAATCAGCACATGCAAGCAGACACAAGGAATATTTCCTCTCTTTTGCTGTGTCAGTATCCTGGAGTCTAGACCAGAAACATCACCTGTGGATCTGTCTTTGAGATTATCCCAAGAAAAGTATATGGACTGCAGTGAATTGTGTCCGCTGGCTCATGGGTCAGGGATCAACACAGAAACATCAAGCAGGGTTTTTACTGATTAAGTCTGTGCCCAGAGAATGACCGACTACATCTTCTGAGGTGAATCATTCCCATATATAGCAGAAACCACAGTTCAGAATTTCAAGTCACTTAGGAGACTATTCGCTACTCAGTTCTTGATTACATATAAGTATAGCCATAGCAAAACTCCTATAAATACCAGATAAAAATAAACAGGAAACAAAAGCAAGCTTACTTTTCAGTCAGAGAGAACTCTCATGCAACTTTCTAGCCTTGTTTAGCATGTGTGTATGTGCATGCAGGGGGATAAGCAATTGTCGAGGACATCAGCATCCTTCAACAGATGGTATTTTTACATGTAGACCACTGCTCAGAAGGCTCTAAGGTGAATTGATGACATTCATTTTTATGTGTATTTTAAATCAGGCTTTACATCCAGATCTCAAGAGGTAAGAAGAGAGTGCCCCAATCCACTGTGCTACTGGGCACCTTAGCAGTGTTCTCCTGAGCCCTTCTCTTGGATTGTCTGCTGTATAACTCTTATTCTAGTAACATTAGGCTCTACCCTCAGGCCCTTTCTTGTTGGTTTTTTTTGTTTGTTTGTTTTGTTTCTTTGCTTTTAACCATTTCAAAAATCATTTTGCTGAACTATTCAGGCTGCTCATTTGCACTTTAAGAATTACCTTTAGCCACTTTTGTAAGGGAAAGGACATAGAAGAAAACAAAACCTAATGAAACAAACTCAGAAGATGTATGTGAAGTGAGTACATAAGATTGTTCAGAAAATTGAGAACATCTTATTTGCAGTTGCCATTTAATCAAAATTTGTACCTGAGAAGATTATTTCACTGGTGAGTTTAGAGAGCCACTGCAGTCTATTATCACTTCACAAAAGATTGCAGGAAAAATTTTGCATGACTGGTAGGATTTCAGGATATTTTCATAGACATTAATCCCAAGCAATTTAATCCTTTGCTGTAAACACTGACTGCAAGCTGAAAATTTGGAGTTTAAATGTCTTCTGCCCTTTCTAGTTACTTGGAGTTCTTTTGAGGAGGACGCTGATGTGTGTGACCTGTTCTTAGAAATCATTTGTTTCAAGAGTTGAGATTTCCATTAGGTGAATCATTTTGGGTAACAGCTTTCTTGCGCTCGTTTTGATAAGAGTGGTTTAGGGTTTTTTTCCTTTTCAAGTTTCATTTTAGTTAGAGCACAGTCCCATCTGACCACCGAAGTAATTGAAAACAAAAAAAAAAAAAAAGAAGTTTAGTAGCACTTTTACCTTACCTACCAAATCTTTCCTCTCTAGATGCTCATTAAGAGAGTTTTCACCTTCTTTGCATTGCACAGAAGTAAAGAAGATGATGGAACATATTATCTATTATCCAAGTTTAAGACAGGAATGCAGCAAAATGTATTGAGAATACTTTATTCTGAAGAATCCTTTATTTTAAAACAAGTGAATGTGGAGTGACAAATGAAGGTTTAAGTGTCAGTATTAGAAATTAAATGCTCTTATCCACATTGTCCTAATATTCAGACACTTCGCAATTATTGAGTTTTCTTTTTGTAGAAGCAAATACTTTCTTATATGAAAGCTTGGGTCTACAAAGCCTCTGGTCCACTTCTTCTGCCAGGAAAAACCTTCTGCTGACAGTTTTTGCTGTGGTTGTGGAAGTCATGTCAGTAGAAGAATTCCTTTTACCTGTCTTAATCATGTCTCCATTATGGACAATCTGCTAATACAGCATAGCTGTTTTGACAAGCAAAGAGCTCTATTGGTGTAGTTATGCCCCTATATGCTGCAGCAGAGTATATCTACCCCCAATACAATTTAATTTACGTCAGCAAAACCATACTTTTGCCAGCGTGGCTTGTCTGAATAACACAAGCTGTGCTGGTGAAAGTATGGTTCTGACTGCATAACTCTGAACATTCACTGTTTTTGGTATCGAAGCTCGGTTTTCACCTCAGTTGCAAATCGTATCCTTTTGTACATCTGACCAGTGTGAGTATGCCTGCAGAACTTTATGGCATAGACCTGTCCCAACACAATTTTGCTTCTGGTTTAAGGAGGTACAAAGCTCAATTTAAGCAGGTACAAAAGCATAAGTGACTCTCTTCATGCTCATTTACCTGAGCCCTACCATTTTCTTCTGCTTCCCCCTTGATTCTTTGCCTACTGCATCCACTGGCCATTTTTTCCTGGTAGTTTGGTTCCTCTCTACTCTTCCCCAAATCCTGTCACTGCAGCCTCCCCCGAGTAATGTTAATCTCTGCCCTTGAAAATTTTCCTGCTTTTTCCTTCCCTGCAGGATAACTGCTTCCTTGAATGCTTTCTTCATGACTGCTGCCTCACTTCCTATTTCTTTGCTTCTCTGCTGCTTGCTGGCCCTCTCTACCTATTTTCTGCTACTTTGTGGGTGCATCTCAAAGCATTGTCTACTGTATTTTCCCTGGGCTGGTTGGGGTTTCCTTCTTCCCATCCCCTTTTCTACTTGCACTCTTTAAGATAAAATTAGCTATGAAGTTAAGAGAAAAAAAATGTAGGCTGGAAAAATCATCCCGATAGCAAACCCTGCAAGAGTATGGACCAAGCTCCCAACAGTAGCTGTCAAATCCTCCATAACTGAGGATACTTAAAACTAAACCAAGACCGTAAAGAAAAGTAAACTGCATAGAGAAATACCATGGCAGCCTCAGGGAATGAACAGCAGGCATCTTCCATTTCTAGCCTATAACACTGAAAGATAGTAAGTGATGCTTTAGCTGGATATTGCTGCCTTCCTTTAGCTGCTGATGTCGCCACTGGTGCTACTGCAGCCCTTTGAACAACTGAACATGAAGAAGCTACTGTTAACATGAGCATTTATTTTATTTGTGAGAGGATTCAGAATCCACTCTCCCTAGCAAATGGGACAGGGGAAGCACACAGCTGGCTTACTACTTGCCTTCAGGAGGGAAAATAACCACATTTAAGCCAACAATCAATTAGGTGTGAGAGGCTGGGTGGTCAATAAGAATGAAACATGTCATGTTCAGTACCAAATCACAAGCTGGGCATTAAACACTAACTTCTTTTTGCACACCTGTGTTTTTTGCATTACCTGGGCAACAATGCAGAGTTTTAAAACAAGTGAAAGTATTGCAGCGGGTGGTTTTGCTTACTGTTGTTCTTTTTCCTGCACTGTCTCTACATAGACACACTTGCACACGGGTTATACAACCTGTTTCTGAGGTGCACATTAGTGAACACAGAACTGCTTTAGAATGTAAATGTCAAACATCTGCCTGTTAGTTTTTTTCATGCTATCTTTTTAAACAGTCTAAGTAGGCTGTGCTGTTCCAAAATCTGCTAACTAATTAAATCTGCAGGAGGGAATCTTACTTGTAGTAATTTAAAACATACTATTTTTAAATCCTCTTTTAAGAATTTTCATTACTAAAACTGTATTAACACTCTTTTGTGCCTCTGGTGTTTCTTTTGGTTACAAGGCTTATTATCAGTTGATTATCCCTTTAGCCATTATCTATAGTTATGACTTTATATCTTGAAAGAATAGGTTTAGGTTGGTGAACTTCCCTAAAAAGGATTTAGAAACATTGATTATTGCTACAATAGTATAGGGGAATAGTTTTTGCTGCTTTTCACATCCTGAAAACCAGAGCTGGGGAAAGGGACTAGTTCATCAAGCTTGTCCAGTCCTAGCAGCAGGGCTGTTCTGCATTGCATCCATCAGCTGGAGACTCCCACAGTGAAAGGAGAGAAGGAGATAGGACTAGCAATTATTGCAGCCAGAGACTTTAAGCAGTTCTGCAACATGCCCTACAGGCTGTGATCTGGGGGGGGGCGGGGGGAAAGTGGTGTGAGTTTCAGAAATACTGTCTCCGTATTTCCAGATGAGTCCTTTGTCAAAAGGTAGTCTTGTGAGTCAGCTCAAGGTCAGTTTTCCACTGTTGAAATGTCTCAGAGCAAACAGGGAGCAAATACTTACACTTGATCTTTTATTTTTGCTGTTTGTTATCACTAAATGTCTACTGAGAAGAATCATACAGCAGAGTGGCTGACTTTGTGCCCGAAGAACTACACTGGGATCTGGGGAGAAATACTGGTTTTAATTCCAGCCTTGCCACTACCAGGCTGTTGTGATGTGAAGGAAATTGCTTAAGCATGCTGGGATACCTCAGCTTTTCTTTCACACTGTGAAGGCTAATGTTAAGATAAATTTGGACTGAAACTTTGGCCTTGACTTTCTGATCATCCAAAGCTGCCCTTGGATATAGTGGGTGGGGATGCTGCAGGAGCAAGTTCCACCACTCCCTCACTCCCCAGCAGCCCGATTTCCAGAGGCCAAGGTACTTGAGCACGGTGGTGCATCACATTTCCCTACGTGGGGAAAACGGGAATGCTGTATGATGCCGTGTCATCAGACAAATGCTCTGAGAGGGTTTGCAGCTGGTCTTACGTGATGTGCTTTTCTGTGTGGTTTTCCGATACACACATTCACCAAGTTTAATTTTTCAAGCAATTTATAGGAAATATATTTAGTTAAACTTTTTCCCTTTTATTCTGTATAATTCCCTGCCTCTATGGTGGTCACACTTGTCAGTTCTGCATTAGTATATAAGGGATTTTTGATCCAAGAAACCTGTGTCTCAGTTGAAGGAAAAAAACCCACTAAAGCAAAGCAAAACCCCAACCCATGAGAAGACTCAGCAGTAGCATGTTTGTTCATTTAAAGAAATAACTGGTTGAAACATAAAGGAAATTCAAGCATTTCTTTGGGTCTTAGGTTTTATAAAGACTTATTTCTCAAAGCCCTCAGGGCTGTATTCTCTGATCCTCCAAGCAGGCTTTGCCCTGCATTAGTATGTCATCTGAGTTCTGCCTCTTGACACGAGTGAGGACATCAGGAAAAGGATGGCAGTGAGAGGACTCTGTATGCTATGCAGGCAGGCATAAGCTCAGGCAGGGCATGGGGCTTCCGATGCCTCTGACATCCTCTGTGGCTGGACAGCCACACCGCAGGGTGAGGGAGCTGGGGCCTGGCGCTGCCCTCACCCAGCAGTCATGAAGTGTTAGAAAGTCAGGGTCCAGCCCTGCCTCTTACAGCATATGAAATACTCCTGGTTAGTCAGAGAACTGCCTCACTCAGAACTGTTTTGGCTGAAAGGGTTGTGTAAATTTACAAGAAATTAAAGTAACTTCTAAATACCATGATCTAAGGCAGAGAACATTGATAATGTCAAATAAGATGGGGGAAGGGGGAAAGATTTTCTAGCTAACCTTTAACTCCTCTTTTACTGCCAATGTTAGCTTTAGTCTCCATGCTTTAAGACATCCTCAGATTGCAGCCTTCATATAAGCTACACATCCTGTTTTTCTTCTCTCCTTGAATACCTTTAATCAGCATCTCTGATATTTGAATTGTGGGTGGGGGCTGAGTTGTCCTTTTCTTGGGACCACAGCAGGTGGCTTTTATGTCACCCAGTGGTGTTAATGAATTTGATAACACACTAAACACCTTCACAAAACTATTGTTTTTACTTCTACTATTGCTCATTGTATTTAACATCACAGTGTAGGATTAGAGAGCTATGCGAGGGTTATATAAAAACTAGAGAAAGTCTTGCCCCTTAGTGTGTTTATCATCACTATTAAGTATTGATATCACAATACCCAGAAACTGGATATTGTATAGAAACTGACTAGTCCTAGGAGATAAAAGACTTACTACTTAAACTGTTATAGAGCAGTCACAGGAGATGGGCTAAACCACAGTAATGTAGATGGTAGAAATTGCAGTGATGAAAATAGCTGTATCATGTAAGCCATGTAGTAACATTCTGGGAGAGTCATTCATAACAGTGGGTTTTATTATACAAAAAGTATCTCTACCTTCTCTTTCACTCCAATAAATAATAATAAAAAAACCCATTTGCCCCAAATTTCACATTCAATATTAGACCACAATAGTTTTTTTACCTCCCTGATGCATTATAAAAGTTCAAATGACAGAAAGTTGGAAAACTGAGTTGTTTTAATTTCTCTTGCCTTGCAATAGCTCAGAATTATAATTAATTCCTAAACTATTAAAAGACATATCACTTTTTACTATTTCATAAACCCTGGTAGTTAACCAGGGTTTTTTGTTTTTACATTACCCTTTTGGGGTTTTTTTTGTTATTACATTACCCTTTTGCATTGTTAGGGGGTTTGTGTGTTTGTTTTTTTTTTTTTTAATTTCTAGCATTAATGTAACACGGTATGTACTGGTTCACCCTTCATTACATCTTTCTGAAAGAACAGGGATGTTAAAAACACAAATGCAATTTAAAAATTATCTACATATTTTCTCCAAGCACTAAAATCCTAATTTTTTTCCAGTGCGAGCTTTACATTTTCATGTTTCTAGAGCAGATGCTGAATTGAAAAACACTTGTTCTTCTATTCCATCTATCCTTGCTAAACTTCCCACATGGAAGGCTCTTCAGCACCTCTGAAGTTAGAAAATAGATCAAGGGTAGATGAGAATCTTCATACAGAAGTGGTCCAAAATGCCTCCAAGACTACTCTAGAGATATTAGCCAGAGATCAATGGCACATGCATTGCTAACCTCCAAATATGATTACCCATACAGGAATTTTCACCAGTTTCACTTGCAGCCACTTATGTAAATGGCTGTGTAAACCAGGCCCAGTCTCCATGAGTCCATATGTATGTGCTGTGCAGGCTTAAATCACAGCAGTCTTGCAATGTGAATAATATGTTTTAAGGGCTGAGCCTGAGACGGTCAAACTGCTCAGGTTTTTGTTTAATTGGATGCCTGACCACAAGAGATACTGAAGTAAAGATGTAAGCTGGCTACAAAGCTGTTGAATTTACCAGCAGCTCTGCCACTGCAGGTTGGCAGGTACAACGGGGACAGAGATGAAAATGTTAAAGACACTTTGCGATCAATTTATTTGTAATGGCTTCCCTTGACTGTTTTTGGTAAAATAAGAACCTTAGAACAATGAGAATGTGCTTTCTAATGTTTGTGGCTCATATTGTGGGGTAAAGCATGATATTGCTCTTCTGTCAGTCAGCAACTCCGCTTTAACAGAGCTTAATGGTATTAAAATTTATCTACAAAGCTCATGGGTAACACTGCACAAAACTCAGGTGACAAAAATTCAGCCTGCAGAAACCACCACAACAAACACAAGCAGGTTAAAGCTGCAGTTTCGGGTTCTGAATACATACACGTGTGCGCCTTTCGGTTTTGCAGTTTTGGCTTTTCCAAGTTCCAGCTCACCACACCTGCAGGTGTTTTACTTGGGAGTCCATAAGGGAAGAGAGCTATTCCTGACATGAAGCACAGCTCACGTCTTTGAGACAGGACCTGTGTATTCTGGACTTGTATGCCTTTATCCAGTAATTAAAAAGAATGGTGCAAATGAAGTTAATCATGACATCTTACTGGCAACAGACTGTTTTTGAAAAGAGTAGGTTGAGGGCTTACTGCCACATACCTGGAACTTAGCCTTCTTTTCCATGTGAATCCCTTTTCAATGAGGAGATAGGATACCATATAAGCTGGTACAAGCCTTTTGCCCAGAGGTCATAACTTGATTTCTTTAAAAAAAACAGCCAGAGACTTTAGGTTCCATCTCACCAATAGCAGCTTTAAAAGGCCTAGCTTTAGTAGCTTTAGACATAGTGTAAATAACCATTTCCATAAAGTGTAAACGGGTAACTGGTTCCTGCTATACTCATTAGGACACTCCTCGGAAGCAGTGTTGGTTTACTTTTTTTTTTTCCCTATCGAGCTTTCAAGATGGAGTGTTGCCAAATATTTTGTTTTTATGTACTGTTATTATTTGTCACACAACTCTAAACCGGTACTGTCTTTAAAGTGAAAACCCCACGACTCTGAACACACTTCTCCATCACTTGTTGAGTCTTCTTCTACATCTCTGAACTTCCACTGCAGGGAAAGTGGAGGAAGGACCGTGCATGCAGTGCCGTGCACAGCGCCTGTGCAGCGTGTAACTACCCGTGCTTGCAAGCAGCCGCATCTTGCCTTTGATTAGGAACAGCATTTGGACCTCCTGTTCCTATGCTGATGTTCAGGGTCCTGTTAAACTTCACGTCCTTTAGGTTTCGTCAGCTGGATGGATGACTGACCCCAGCTGAGACCCAAATCGCGCAAGGACGAAAGTTTCTGAGGAAACAAACAAACACAACCAGAAGCCGACTTCTGCCAGCAGAGCAGCGGGCTGCGGACGCTGTACCTGGTGAGGCACTGGGCTGGGAAGAGGAGGAGGAGGACGCACAGACATTTCCACGGGCAGCGGAGAGCCCCGATGAATTCCTTAAAGCCGGCAGCGCAACACCACCACC